GGATGGTTGCAGTTCTGTTGAAGGAATGATGGCAGTCTCCCCGAGAGTGGCAGTCACAGTCCTGCTGGAGTTCTTCTCTCCCTCTGGATCTGATGAATGGTCCTTCAAGTCCCAAAACCTGAAGCTTGTATATCCCCAGGTTCAGTGGGAATGTCCAGTACCTCCCCTTAAGGGCCGGGAGTTTCACAATGGGTCGTTTAACTCTGTGGATGGTAGGATATTCTTGGATTCCTTGATGAGCTAGGCCATTGTCAGTACAGATGGGTCCATGATGGTCCATTAGCAGAGAGGACTCCTCCTGCTGGGTGTGAAGGTGTTAACACCTCCCCGGACCTCTTTCCTTATCTATTGTAGCCTGGAGTGTGAGGTGTGTCCTGGGCAGCTGCTACCAATGATTTGTTAACAGCCCATTAGCAATGACATAGAGGGTATAGAATATACAGTTTTTTGTTATGCCCACATAATGATAAACTGGTCCCAGCCCCTCTAACTATGACGCTATCACATGCTGCTTTACAGGCAAAACAATAGTTTCACTGTTTGATTGAATTAAAACCCTCTTTGGCATGATCACCCCAATTCTTTTGCACTTCGAGATCACAACAAACAAACTATCACACATCTGCTGAGTGGAGCGGACTGTGACGTTACAAATTGATGATACGGACAGGATCCTGAGAGACAGAAGGGTGCAGGTTTTGTGCGGTCCATAACAGGGGAAGGAAGTTTCATTCTAGCCGCAACTGGCCCTACACCCAAAAAGGGTGAGAGGTGTCCAGAAAGGAAGGAGGGGCGAGTCAAAATTCTCACACAACACACACCCAGGCGTAGTGCACTCCACACTCAAGTTGAGGGCTCTGTTTATTTGGAACAAACAAAAAGACGGAACTGTTTTCATATAATTGCAGTCTGGTATCCGCAACCTCCTCTTGCCCAGAGGGACAAGGAAGGATTATAAATGGGGTCGAGACGTACACGTGGCGCTCGCCTCTCAAGGGTAGATCAAAAAATAACCCTTTACCACGCTCAAAAAATTGTTATTGAGACCAATGTCGGTTATATACAAGAATATAGTTTAGTGTGGGTTGACACCAGTTGGAAAAAAGGAAAATGGGGAAAAGGAAAAAAAAAAGGAAAAAAGGAAAAAACCAGTTCAACAGTTCAAAAGACCCAAATTCCTAGTCCACAAAATGGTATCGGCAGGAAGTCCTTTGGGGAATGATGGGAGTTATAGTTTCGGCCAACAAAATGGCGTCGAACAGAAGACTCTGGAAGCAGAGCCTTCTGAGAAATGTACTTCCCGGATGTGTCGGCTAAAATGGCGTCTGGAAGTCATGGTCCAAATTGGCGGCGCACAGTACCCAGGACCTCACAGGGCAGGTGCTGACCGCGGGAAAAACAAACACAGCAGAGCATCTCTGTGGGACGGGATACTGTGCGGTGCCTTTAAGAAAAGCTGCTCTGGGAACGTGGCTTCTCAGTTCATGGCAAGCCTTGGTAGTCAGCAGTGGCTGCCTGGGGGGGGGAAGAAGGCATGTCGGCGGTAGGAATCACCAGCACAGCGGCGGTAGGTGCGGCCTCGGTGGCGGCAGTGCGGCCTTGCTTGGCGGTGCCAGGTGTGACCCCGCTCAGTGGCGGGCGCA